CAACTACTGTTGTGATTGCTGCTGCTGTTGGTGGTGTTGTTTGAGGTGCTGCGATATAGGCTGCACTTCGGACAAGCATCTTTTCTGTGTTGCTGCTGCGGCCTGCTGGTGCTGCTTTTTGAGAGCCTCCAGGAGAATCCCTTTTTTATCGTCGTTGCGCAGGCAGACAACCGCAAAAGGGCTCTGTTGCTGCTGCGACACATGCTGCAGCAACGCATGCAGCAGCAGCACCAACAGGAGCTGCACGCTGCCGCTGGGGCGCAGATGGGGAGCAAAGACCGCAGCGAGAAAATAAGAACGTACAACTTTCCTTCTGACTGTGTACGGGACCACAGGTTCGTTTAGGACACATCGTACAGGGGTCACCGCCATGTGTTAAATGCCGAGGCTCTGCAGACAGATTAAGGATTCACTTCCTAGGCGGTTGGCACTCACAGTTTAGCAGTTTTGTACAGGTAGCGAGAGCTTTACAATCGTGCAATAAATGCAGACGAAAGCAAATAGGCAGACGGGAAGCCACGCAGACAGCTAGCGCATACAATTTAGGCATGGATAAGAACTAACAAGAGCACATTTACAATAATGGGAGTGCAGAGTTTGAGGTTTTTATACACTCAGGTGCAGCGAAGCCGTTCCCGGCGTCCGACAATTCCTCGAAACTGCCGAGGGTCTGCCGCTGCTGCTCCGCCAACTTCACGCCAAGAGGCAGCAACACCTGTTGGCGCAGGCGGTAGAGGCAATGCAGCTTTTGCTGCAGCAGCACCACGTCCCAAAATTTCCCAGTGCCTGATGCCGCAGCTGCAGTAGCGGTAGCACAAGTAGCAAAGTGCAGCAAATCTGTTCTCGCATATTCATTAGCAGCTACAGCAGAAGCAGAAGACCAGAAGTGGCTTCAATGCGGTGCTTGAGGCGACATCGTAATCAGACTTTATTGAAAGTGTCTGTCTAGAGACAGATAACGAAGTTCAGTCAGTGCTGGTGCAGCAAGAGATTTGCATGTGTTGCACGCAGATGAAGCAACGTCATATGCGGCAGCCATTGGCAAATTAGGACTTCAGCAGCAAAGTTGATACGTCAGAGGCAGAAGCATGCATGCATCCATGCATGTGTTACAAACAGATGTTGTACTTACGGCTACGCCAAAATGGGGCTCTTTTGTGCCATTTTTTGACGAGAATCATCATGCTGAAGCATAAGACGCATATACATCCGCGTGCGCCAATGTCATTTAGTTGTGTTGCATTAGAAGCAGTCTGAAATAGCTCATGCTGCCGATTCATTTCATCCTCACTTGAGGGACCTGCCGTGGAGTGTAGGCAGAATGTCTGTAAGCAGGCTCTTGAGTTGCAGCAACTTACATTCGCCGGTCAGTGCCTCTGCTGACGGAGAGCCTCTCAGCTGGGCTGTCCAGATTGCGCAAAATTTGTCGTCTTTGTTCTGCCTAGGGTACTGCCTTGTAGTTTCCTGGAGTCCCATGGGAGTGTAGAAGACAGGCACACGTGGTAAAGATGACGTGTATACAGAAGAGTGAGCTTAGGTGTTGCATCAAGTACAGAGAGGGGTCAGCTCCTCCAGACAGCTTAATTTGAAGGCTTTCTTATTGGTGAGCTTCCTAATGGCCTGGTGCATTGCCCAGCGACCTTCTGGAGGCTCATGATAATTGTATTAACCTCTGAGTAAACATATGGAATACGATTCACGCCGAGCATACTGGTCTTTAGACGGAGTTATATTAACTTATTACAACTATCATAACTAGTCCAACCACATTGTCACAGTGGCAGCAAAGACAGTAGTCGCAGGGCAGATTTGCTGCGTGTTCTTCCAACGAGTTGCGGAACTGTCTCATGTCGAAGTTTCCGTTTCGTTGTTATTTAAAAGTGAAAAACAGAAGTAGCGTACAGGTCGAAGCTGTTCTGCGAAAGCTGAAGCCTACGGCTGCCTTCTCTTGCCTGGCTGACAAGCCCAGTTGTTCCCGGTGTGGGCTTTTGCAGGTCGCAAATTCCCGCTTAAGGCCAAGAATCGTTGGCAGACGCTCTATTAAAGCCCGCTTAAAGTTGCATAGTTTTTCAATTTAGCTTTATTTTTGAAGCAGACTATTCCATTATGACCGCCGACAGCAGCTTGGTGGCTCTGGAGAAACGGATACAGGAGGCGAAGGTCTTGGCCAGCCGCTTGTCGCCAAAGACCAGGGACAAAGTTTTAGGCGCTTTTAAAGAAGGTCTTTTGTTGCATAAGGCGAAAATTCTCCAAGCCAACAGAGCAGACGTGGAGGTGCGTGTTCAACCCTCGCACCCAGCCAAGTGCAGCTACTGCTCGCGCCTCAATAGTAGCACAGTTCATGTGATGTTCCTTTTCATACTCAAACAAATGCATCTGTGCACCGATTCGGGGTTTTCAAGTGCAGGAAGCCACGAACAGCGGCGCTGTCGCCCCAGCCCTCCTTAAGCGGCTCGTCTTGGATGCACGGAAGTTGGAGTCGCTGGCTACTGCCATCGACGCACTCAGGGCTGCTCCCAACCCTCTTGGAAAGTGCACTCTAGCTACTGAGCTCACTCCAGGTGGACAACTTGTTGCTGCTGCCTGCGCCCAGGCTGCTTTTCCTGTAGCTGTTGGTGTCATGCTACTGTTCTTACTAGGCTATTCTCTTTTTAGCTGTTGTTCTCCCCGTCGCGGTTATCTTCACAGTTGCCACTTCTCCTGATATTTATTGCGGACTCACTGTAGCTGATATATCAGTACATGTCGATACGGTTACATATTCCTACACTCACTTGCGCACCTGTCTGCTGCTACAAGGGCTCAATCTTTACCGCGTCACTGTTCCACTGGGGGCGTTGCTGATTATATTTGAAGGGCGCCCGGAGGCGTTTGTTCAAATTGCGTCCTTGGGACTCAAGTCTGGCAATGTACGTGCATTTCTTCAGATCGAGGCAGCAGCGGGCGGAGCAAGTCCAGCTCTGGCCATCCAGCATGGCATTAAACTGTTGCTGCTTCGTACTTTTCGGTGTCTGTGCCTTTAGGTATGTCTTTTGAAGGGCGGGAAGGAGGCGGCGCGGACGAACAAGGCCTTGCACGATGCATTCGTGTTCGGCATCCATTCGAAATTCAGTGTCGATGAGGCTGTTGTTTCTGGGGGACCTGAGGAGGAGGAGGGGAGTCTGTGCTCGCTAGTACAGCTGGTGGAGTCGCGTGAGGATGTACAGCAGCTTCTGCAGCTGGATGGCTGTATAGACTTAGTCATTCCCAGGGGCGGCACCAATTTGGTGCGCTTTGTGAAAAGCCACACGGCCATCCCTGTGATGGGCCATGCTGACGGCATATGCCATGCGTACATCGACGCTGACGCTGTATGTACACCACAGCGGCTGCAGAAGGCTCTGGACGTAATTAGAGATAGCAAGCTGCAGTACGCAGCTGCCTGCAATGCCCTCGAGGTCCTGCTGGTACACAAAGACGCAGCGGAAGTGCTTCTCCCAGCCCTTGGGCAAGCTCTCGCTGCTGAGGGTGTTCAGTTCCGAGCAGACGAAGCAGCGGCAAGGCTGCTGCCTCAAAGTGCGACAAAAGCAGCGGTCCCTCAGGATTTCTGCACGGAGTGGTTAGCACCGATTTTGTCAGTGAAGGTCCTAGAGGACCTCAACGAGGCACTCAACTGCATCAACACCAACGGCTCCCACCACACAGATGTGATCATCTCTTATTGTCCCCCCAATGTGGAAAAGTTTATGCGCGGGGTGGCCAGCGCTGATGTGTTTTGCAACTGCAGCACGAGATTTGCGGATGGTTTCCGCTTCGGGTTTAATGCAGAGGTGGGTATTGCTACCGGGAAAACACACGCCAGGGGTCCTGTGGGCGTTGATGGGCTCTGCACATATGCTTACAGACTATACGGGATGGGACATACAGTATCTGCAGTGGAGGCAGAAGCTGCCTTCAGCCACAAGCCCCTGCTGGTACTTGACCAGGCCAACAAATCGGATGTTATTATGAACACGGAGGAAGCCATTGACGCATATGAACGCAGCCGGATTTTTCTGCAGTGATCTCATGCAGGAGGGCATCTCTGCTGACCCCAGTCTTGCTTACGATTTGGGTGATTAGTTCTGGGGATTAGTCTACGGTCTAGGCCCAAGCGGGTATATGGCACCTTTTTGGGCTTTAAATGCGGCTCTAGAAAGGCTGCGCAGGCATTTATTTCGCCAAGAAGCTAGCTGTAGTTGTTTCTCAGGACTTCTGAGACTTGAGCCACACGGTGCTACCATCTACCCTATTGGTCTCGACGAACACTAAATGACCTGCGGGGATCCATCCTGCGGACTTTTACCCTTTGATGTGTATTCAGTTTGAGTGTTTAAGCAACTTAAAATGGATAAATATATAGAGTTTAGGGCGGCACGCTTGTATTTTCGCTGGTTAGAAACAAGGCATCGTTGCTTGGTCGGCGCCAGGTGTGTGGGTGACCCCCGCGTTTTTCAGCGAATCTGCAGCCCCCGGGGAGATTCCTCTAAAACTGTACGTATTAATTTGCCCTCGAGCATTCATTGATGAGTTTTGTGCAATTAATAACTAATACTACAGGTGTGGGTCAGCATGTTGCCGTTTCAGTGATTGCAGGCAACGGTCAGTGTCTTGCGGTCGGTTCTGGTTCCGCGTCGCTCCGCGCTCAACCGCCAGCTATGAGGCTCGCCTGCCTTCATAAGCTAGCGAAACTCAACCGCCGCTTCGAATTATACTCGCATTTTGTTGACTTTTGAACTTTTTACTATAATCTTTTGCTTCAGTAGAGCACATCAAGTATTTTGAATCTGGGACCCCTAAATGCTCGCGGCATTCATCGCAACTGTTCACGGTCACCGTGAGTTCACATTTTACACTGCGTTTCGCGCTCATCATACCCTTGTGATATCTTTTTATCTTGCCTGAACTGCTAGAATAGCTTATTTCAATCGTTGTCTTCCCTAGTCTTTGTCACCTCTTGCGTTGACTCCTCTTGTAGGAAAATGAACTACCCAACGATCGCAACCGTTGCTGGGCAACAAGATAGGAGGCTGCCGGTCTTTATCCCAAGTCTCGTCAATTACCCTCCTATCTATTACCAGCCTCCTGCGTACTTTTCCTCGGGAATGTACAGAGAAGCCCCTATTACTGCATCAGCAAGCAATGCCAGTACCAACGCCAACATGAACCGGCTTGTCAACACCAAGCTCTGCAGCCGCTACCTCTCCAAAGGATACTGCAAGAGAAGAGACTGCACCTTTGCTCACTCTGTCGTAAGACAACTTCCAGTGTCCTCCCGCCTCACTTCTGCCGTGAAGCCACTTAGCATGTCCTAAAATGAATGCTTTTGCTGACCCCCAGGTCTGCTTCCCATAGTTTTACAGCTGTTCTTGTTGATAACGTTCGTGCTACAGGAAGAACTGCGGCCAGTCCCAGACCTGAGGTGCACCAAGTGGTGCCGCTTCGTCTTCTTTGGCCTGAACTGCAACGACTCGCGTTGCCCTTATGCTCATTCGAAAGAGGAGTTACAGCCCCAGCCAGACGAATTTAAGACAACTGTATGCAGATTTGCTAAACGCGGAAAGTGTCTGAATGGAGAGTACTGCAGGTGTGTCTCGCTCACTTCTGTCACGGCAAAACTTGTAGGCGGCATGACACCTGCTGCAGCACGAACCAATGCTGCACAGCATTTTTTACCTCGCTTGCCTTGTTTTTAGGTTCCTCCATTTGCCACAAGATAGGCAGCAGCTGAACCACCAAGGAAAACGCGCAAATTGGCGCGCCAATCGTCCGGCTGGTCGTCGCGTTGGTGAAGACCTGACTATTATTCCTCTTCCAAATACGGAAGCGGAACGGGAAATTACCGTCTCTCAGGGGGAAGTTGAAGTCTCCGCTCCTCCTTCTACGCCTGCGTCATCAGTAGCTGCGTCCGCTGGTGCGAACATGAACATAGAAGCGCGCCCAAGATTGGTCAACCGTTCACGCCCCACTCGTCAATTCGCGGAAATCTACCAGTCCAGTGAAGCCGAGGACATGCCCCAGGAACCAATGCCGACCAACCCCGCCAGCAGATTTCCCAAGGGAGCCATACTCGTACCCAACAGTCTCTCACGCGACACTACTAGGGACGAACTCCACGCCTCAGTCGAAACGACGCTAAACAGTGGAGATCCAAATTGAACAAAACATGAATTAGTTTTGAAACGTGAACCCGATAACGAAGCAGATGACTATAAATTAGCCAGATTGCCGTGGATGCCTGTCTGGGCCTCGCCCCCACGGTGCTTGCAAGATTTGAAGAAGTCGCTGCTGTGTCCTTGCTTCTCACTTCGAGTTACAATGGATGTGCCTCTTACCTCTTGGCTTCAAGGCGTAGTCCTGGTCGCAATGACAGAGTGTAATTATCGAAATGCGCCGATAAACCGTATAAACCTCACTTTCACCTGCTTCCACTGGACTACTGCTTCTACTGTGTTCATCCTCGTCTTGCTAACTGACGGAAGGCCGAGCTGTTGTTGATTGTAGCCTCCTGAACGGTTCCAGGAAGTCTCTGAAATTTCGTTTGATTTTGTCTCCTCAAGTCGGTTGTCACAATTTTGAGGCTTCAACAATTTGATCAGCAGTACGGCTAAAACTTAGTCAAGAAAACTTTCGTCCACCGGTTGCGGTCAACTACTTAGTCGCCATTCATGCAAACATACGAATACATACTTTTTGTTCCTACATCCGACCAACATTCGTTACAATGCGGCTGAGTCGCTCGGCACAGTTTGTCCAAAAGCCTCAGCTTGTAAACTGCGTTACTGCCTTCTGAATGTTCTTATTCAATATCTAAATCACTAGTTGAAGCCAATATTCGCTACGAAATGTGGCCGAGAATTTCGTTATACGCAGAGAATCCACTTGGCAAGGGAGCCAAAACCCTGTTTTTTTTGGTTGCAAAGAAACCAACAAAACGAACCGAAACCCTCTAGGGGGGATGGCTGAACAATTTGGTTTACGCGTAGCGGGGAGCCCTCTCTGCCCTGTCGCCACCAACGCGAGCCTCTCCTGTGCGCTCGCCCATTGAGCGGCGTCCTCGGTTCATTCCCTGCGCACACCAAGAAAAGTTTCCCGGAACGCGATTCCAAGGTTGTCATTTTGACACAACAAAGTCTTCCATCGGATAGCTTTCGGTGTTTCAAATGACTGCGTGTAACTGTCCTTGAGGAACTGAAACACAGGGTCGCCTCACTCACCACCCTCCAATTTTCCACCTCAGCTCCTGCATCAGCTTCTGGGCCAGCGCGCTGTGCACGTGCTGGGGTTTTCTTTGTGAGGGTGGCGGGGAAGACTGTCGGGGGGAGGCGTAGGTAGTCACGCAGGTACTCCATGCCCTCATTCTTTAGGGTGTAGTAGTTGTGGTGCCAGTTAAACATCTCCTCGCAAAAATCCTTTGACTTGAGGCTCTTCATCACCATCATCACGTGCAAATTTGGCACCGCGATCTCGGGATGCTTCTCCAATTTGGGATTCTTCTGGACCACCAGAACGCCCTCTGAAACAAATATATTATGACACACTAAGTACGAACGGTCATTAACTGCAGTGATGCTCACCTTCCCAGTGCCTCTCGCTACGTACTAAAATAATGAACGGATGTATGCAGTATCATCCCCATGAATGAAGTTCAGCGGAAGCTTTGTAGAAGCACCATGCCACGGTCTCTTCGACAGTCGGCAGGTAAAGCCACAGGACAAGCATCGCGCCAACCGAAGATGAAAGCGACGGAAACCGCAAACAAAGACGCCAATCCAGAGACCGAGAGCATGCTCAATCAGTCCCTGCACTTTGGACCACCACGATATCTCCACACCAATATAGATCCAGAGGAAAGTCAAGCAAACGTGGAGCTTGCACGTCAAAGGTCGTCGCCAGGCTGTGAAAAGACTCCGGCGAAAGACCCCACGGGCTCGAGGTTCCCCCGTTCCCCTGAGGTGGCCCAAGAAAGCACGAGAATAGGAGAGAAGACACAAAAAGAAAATCAGAGAAATAACATTAATACTCACCCTTGAAGAGGTACTCGTATATCATACGGCGATTCTTCTTCGGAATCAGGCTCGGCTTGATGCCCACCGTCATCTTGGCTGCAGGTATGTTGGGTGAAGGCGAGAGCCCAGGCGTGGCAGAACAAACCGAACAAAATGAAATACCCTTCAAGCGCCCATTTGCTGTAGTGAGCACTCCCCCTTCTTTTCCAAAACTACTGATTTCCTGCACTCCCCTCAGTAGCTACTCTCGGCACAGCCTTCTTCATGCAGCCCCACAGCCCCTCAACAGCCCAACAAATGTAGTTTCCGTTGCCCATATTGCTGATTCTTTCCGTTCGTTCACATTTCTAGTTCGATAATTCCGCAAAGGGATAGACTATGATTTGGCTTGCATATTGTCAGACACATCTTGAGCAGCACGATTCGCACCCGAGGGGACTAGGGAACCCCACGTTGTAGTACTGTTGACTGGAGATGCTCTGTGGCAGGAACAGTATTTATCTAGTGGAACTTAGAAAATACAAATATTAACGTTTACACTCATGTATTTACCTGCAAGACTGGAATGATAATGACATCCAACCTCTAAGGGCAGCAGCGGACGACCGTTAGTATTTAGAGTAGCTCTGTTGCTACACTTACAGAAGTCCATGATCCCCCAATATTTCTCAATATGGTGTGGAGGAATGCTTTGCATTTGAACGTATACAAAAATCTACGATGGCCTTATATTTTTTCAATGTGGTGTGGAGAAATGCTTGGCGTCTGAATGGAGTGCTTGTTGTCAGATGCTCCTGCTCAGGCCATAGCATGAAGGATAGCCCTCAGAACTGCTTCCCTTTAGATCCCGAAGTTTGTTGTACAAGATACGTATGGGTGGTGTCGAACTCTGATAGTAGCATTGCAGAAAGCTGGCGCCCTCACCTCTGCTGATTGTATTTCTCTCAGGGTAGGTATGACTGTTACGGACTAGTTGCAGGCTACTTGCCACTATTCCGCAGATGGTCAGTCCTACACTCTGTATGTGACCATGTCTATGAGTAACATGAGTACTAAGAACGACAAACATGGCAAAATAGACTCGAGATTAACAGTAATTGCAATAGAATTTACTGGAAACCAAAGGAGTCATTAAAGAATAAGATGCAGTGAACTATCCCAGCACTCTGCTACGGCAAAAAGCATATTGTCCTGTTGATGCGAGCAGGCGCGTTAAGGCGCCAAGTCCTTCATGTGAGTGCACATCCAGGGGCTGCAAGGCACACACTGTACCTTAGAATAAGCAGTATCCATATAGTAAGATGACTAGGCTGCTTGCATCCAGAAAAGTAGAACATGGCTAATTGTTAGCATACAGTTTTGCATATCTGGTGCTGCCGAAGCTAGGGCAAACAACCTCCAGCGCAGCTGCTCTACGAGGGAACTGTATGTAAGATATTGCGTACGCTCACTAGCACCAAAAGGTTCGCAAAAGTACGAGTCCTCCCTTGCCGGCCCCACCAGGGCTTGGTACAACCTTGGCGCCCTCACGGTGAACTCTCCCTTCCAGGGCCTTTCCATTGACTGCTTTTTCTTTCTTCTGAACCACACATTCTTAGCAGCAGAGGGAGCGAACAGAAAAACTCAAAGCCATCGATGGAAAATAGCACGAAAAGCGTTGTCCGCCACCCTTGTTGACTCACATTTGGCTCCAGGTCGGTCTGTTAGTAAAAATAGCAAGCTAGCCACTCTGTATTTTCTAGCACAACAGAGAATAGCTTTGCAAGGCATTGCTATAACGGGACTCGG